CTTTACCATTCAGGTCTTTTATATCAGTTTTGACAGGGTCTCTCTCTCTCTCTCTCTCTCTCTCTCTCTCTCTCTCCCCCCCTCCTCCTTTTTCTTTCAGTCCTTCACCATTTTTTCCTCCAGAAAAACTGTGTTCAAGAAGAGAACCTCAAAAGTCCTGCTATGTAGATGGAAAGTCTGTTAATTTTTGCACTCACTCTGATGGGTGTGTAGCCAGACTTACATCAAGGAAAACTAGGTTAAGCTGTCATCTTTCCCAATGATTTCATTTGTGACTTTGGCAAGTCTCTTTCCTTTATCTTCCTTACATAAAATTTTACAAGTTCTCAACACTGAAAATAAGCATTTTTTATTAGTGTTATTGTTTCCATCCATTTATTTTTGGTATATATAAAAACAGGTAGTGGGAGTTATCTAGATCATGTTAAAGAAACTTATGCTATTGGTGATTGCTATGGAACAGAAAGAAAAAAAGGATTGGTAAGTAGTTTTGAACATATACTGAAAACTGTATAACATTATAGAAATATTTCAAGTATTTTTCAGACACGTTTCTATATCAGATTTTACTCCCTTTTCCTATAGAATGGAGCCAATGTATTCCCTAATTCCCTATCAGTTTCTGTAATCTGGCATCACCAATATGTGTTGTTACTCCCAAAATCTCCACTTAGTGTAGCTAATATAAATCCCTCACACTATCTAATAACCAGAAGCAACACGAAAGAGAGAGAGAACATGGCCAATTTTAAAAAATAATCAATAATCATTTGCTTATACTAACAATTGTCTCTTACACATAGGAACACTCCTGCACACAAAACCACGCCTATACATACCCCTTCCCTTCCCTTCCTTTACCTGACACAACAGCACAGAACAGGATGTCAATGGGATATGTGGACAGTGTGACACAAAAGGAATGGAAGATGAAGGGAGAAAAGGAACTGGATGAAAAGAAGAGGAGAGAAAGAGGTTCCTGGACTGAGTGAGAGAAGCCCTGTTAGGGTGTCACAAACAGAATTTGCCACCCAGAGAAATGAGCCCCACTCCTCCCTCAAGTCACCTTCTTTCACCATTCCTGCTCAATTCCTTGTTTTTATTTTCCTTGCTAATTTTTCAGCAAGGTTACAAACTCCCCACCCTATGCCCAGGGGGGGGAAACCTGGCTTCTTATCAGCT